TTAGCAGTATTTATTTTAATCGGCTAAATAAACCAAACATGTTAACATGATATACTCAATTTGGAAGAATTTATTATATTCGGCTAAATAAAACAAACTTGTTAACATGATAAACTCAAGTTAGCAGTATTTATTTTAATCGGCTAAATAAACCAAACATGTTAACATGATATACTCAATTTGGAAGAATTTATTATATTCAGCTAAGTAAAACAAACATGTTAACATGACATACCCAAGTTGGCTTGATTTATTATAACGAGCTAAAAAACAAACATGTTAATATAATATACCAAGTTTGAATAACATATTATTATCAGCTAAGTAAAACAAACATGTTAACATGACATACCAAAGTTGGTGTGATTTATTGTAATCGGCTTAATATAAGAAACATGTTAACATGACATGCCCAAGTTGGACGGATATGTTATAATCACCTAACTAAAACGAACATGTTAACATGATATACACTAGTTAGTAGTATTTATTTTAATCGGCTAAATAAAACAACACATTAACATGATATATCCAAATTGACGAGACTTATTATAATCGGCTAAATAAAACAAGCATGTTAAAATGATATACACAAGTTGACTGGATGTTTTATAATCACCTAAATAAAACGAACATGTTAACATGATGTATGCAAGATTGCAGGACTTATTATAATCCACTAAATAAAATAAACTTTTTAAAATTATATATCTTAGTTTGTGGGATTTATTATCATGAGCTAAATGAAACAAATATGTTAACATGATATACTCAAGTTGACTGGATTTATTATAATCATGTAAAAAAGGCATCTTAATATGATTTACACAATTTTCGAACAGACATTGAGGTATCACCGTTATTTTTCTTTGAGGACCACACTACTGTCCATATATATGTGTGTTTATGGTTAGATTTAATAATAATACCTGAAATAAGCTACGTTATAACTCCAAAATGTTGCTTTTATTTAATTAAACTCTCAGCGTTTCGCTTTACAGCTTCTTCAATA